CGGTATAGAAACTAATGAATATTCTATAATCATTGCCGTATCAACCTAGGCCCTTAGCGTGAGTTTTATGAGGTTTATTTCTTGGAATTATTTTTGTGTAAACCAGTATAATATATAATCCCCTGCCGCAGCAAATCTATAGACTGAGCGAATTTCCATTTGCCTGATTATAATTTCACAAAAATATGTTAGAAAATTACCCATAATTTTCCATATTTATTTATATTTTCCTTTTTTTCTATTTTTTGGTTTGGAACTATTGTGATAGCTTTTCGTTTACAGTGCAAACCATTAAACACATTCTTTTATTATACCTTTAAATCCATCATTGGTTTTGTATCGTAGGTAGGCCGAGCCTAAATAAGTATTAACAGTATGAGTTAACAAAAACGTACTATTATCAAGTTAAGTAATACAGTTAAATTTTGTTTCTAAATTAAATGGTGTAACCATTTGGCATTTTTAAAGAACCTATCTTTTGCATACTGACCCCGTTGCAAGGCACGGGTATAGCTGCTAGCAAATACGAATAGTAGCGCTGATTTGCAGTAGTAGTTCAATAAAATAACAAGCGACCGGCTGACCGGCCCGGCACAACTAATGTGACCAACGGGATTGATTTATTTAGTATCTTATATGCATTAGAAATCATGTACTACCACAAAGTCTTCTTTCTACATCAATTACAATTCCATAATACCCCCACCGCAGCAAACCTGCAGCCAAAGCAAATTTCCATTTGTGTGGCTTTATTTTCAATTCAATCTAATTCAATAACGTTAGGTTTAACGAGTACCTAGGTTTGCTGCCTACAGGGAGGGTAACGAAGTGTGATTTTTAGAAAAATATTATTAGCTTAGTATGAAATAAATAAATTTGCCAAGTTTAAAGAAAATCTATTCATAAACGAGCAATATTACAACAGTTTACTTATCCATCTAAATATTATAAGTAAGAAAGTTTGGATGTATATGGATGTATGGATGGATGGATGGATGGATGGATGTATGTTTGTGACAAGTAAACGCGAAGAATACTAAACCATAGACAAGGTTGAAATTTGGAATGACGATAGCTGACATTCCCGATTAACATAAAGACATATTCTTACCTCAAAAATCCTTTCAGGCTCCACCCCAGTGGCTCTGGCCATGGAGTGTCTCATGTTAACCTTATGAGTATTCATATTTAAAGAAATTAAAGAATTTTGTCAGCCTTTTCAACTGCACAAGTTGGTTCTATGATATTAAATAGCATTAAAAAGTTATAAGGCTTGCCAATAGGGTACAGCACTATTTTTTTTTGCATTTATGACCACAGCTAATTTGAACCAACTAGCAACCAAAAGTTGTGGTACACAATGAGAACTTTACTTTTTTCCATGGCTTAGGTGCAGTGGTAGAACATTAGGGCTATGGTAGATGTGTGTTACACTACTATAGGATACCGTATAAATTAAAAGACCAAATTGTCTTAAACCGCGTCTTCTCCCATAACTGCAATAAACATTTATACTTATATGCAAACCCCGTACGAAGGACTGGTACTCTGCTAGTTATAGATAAAACATAGTCTCTTAGCTATTAACCTACATAATCAGAGCTATATTGCTTCGGTAGTTTATGTGTGGTTGAAAGAACTGGGCGCTGGGAGGCAAAAACGCGATAATTCCTCGGACGATTCGGTAACGGGGATATTCCCCGCGAGCCGGGTAGATGCAGGGAGGCGTCCGCTCAATTACCCACCCGAACCAGTTTTGTCCGGCTCACGCACTGTCCGCCTCAAGCACGTCCGGGGGAAACACGGCACCCTTTAAAGGTACGTTTTGCCTGAAGCGACAGGTGCGACGGTCGCGCAGCGACTGTCGCCGAGCGGCAGTCGCGGGATGGTAGACTGTTTTGCTTGGAGCGACAACTTCTTTGGCGTCACGAGACGTGGTACCGTCAGTGCACCTAACCTCAAAAGTGCGCACTAAGTATTAAGTCACTAAATAAAATCGATAAATTCACTTATTATAACAGGTAAAACTTAACAAATAAAGTATTCCTTATAGGCCTAGTTATTTGTTATATGAAACATTCCAAAACTGCCATGTCACAAGCCAAAATGTAATAAAATTACTCAATTTATCCGTAAATTGCAGTACACAAGCATAACTTGAATTGGAAATCAGTGTTATAAACAACCTCCTCACAGAGTGAAAATTATATTTTATTGATTGTATTGTAAATGAAAAAAATACCAATTGAATTATATACTCCATTAATATTTGAATAACCACATTACTTTAATAATTGGCATTTTATATATTTTAATATGACACGCCTGACTTTTAAGCCAATTTGATCAATAACCATTTACACAGAGCAATATTTTTTGAAGCACCTAAACGAAAATTTAATTAGAAGTCTTTTAAGTCGACAATCTAAATAACCTAACTTACTAATATATTAAAATAACTTGTAAAATAATAAGACCAAAGAATAAAGGACAACGTCAGGTTTAAACTAACCTGACGTTGTCCTTCATTCTTTGGTCTTTGTAGGAGATATGTTTCAAATCATAAAGCGCGGGGTATTTTGCCACTTCTTCTAATAAACTGTCGTCTTCTTAACCACTAAAATTTAACTTAATCACAGACGTTGGCCGACGCCATATAGCGAAAATAATAGGTTACCGAACTTGTCAGAATGGTGCGTTGCGTCTCCCGAGCGCCGAGTCTCCCGAGCGCCGAAAGCAAAAGAGTATCCCGAGCGCCGAAGCCATAAATTACCAAATGGTCTGCTCAGTGATGTAGAAGTGATGAGGGTTAATATGTTTTCTTATGAGAACATGAATATGTTTTCTTCTCCGGTTACAATTAGTTTAATCTGTGAAGCAGTCAATATGTATCATAATAATTTCATTAAACTCAAAATACAATTTCACTAGGTATGAGAACAGTTTCATTAGTGCACGGACATAGTTTTGATATTATTCATTTCTATTTTCATCATATTATACCTTCTTCGCGGCTGTTGCGTGGTTGTAAATGAATTATTTAAAGGACAATACAGGACAAAACACATTGAAACTTCATCATTGACTATATTAATGACCAATGCCATCATACAAACAAATATGAGTCTATAAATAATGTAGAAGGCAAACAGATTTTTACTTTTCATCTGATATGCAGAGTTTAGTTTAATTAAAGGTTCTTGGAAATTTATTATTTAAAAACAATTTTATAACAATGCCAGTTTTAAACTTAGCATGCAATAACTGCATGTGGTATAATGGTTGAACCAAATTATAACGGGTGGTAGTTTTATTTTAAAAGGATTTCAATGTTTTAAGTTCATGCCAAAGGTATTATAATAAATAGTGAGTTAGCTTTTTTGGCACGGATCTAATAACATTGAAATACTGTACTAGTGAGAGAGGTGAGGACTTAACTAATTTTTCACTGATAAAATAGGAAAATTAAAAATAAATGCAATTGGAATTTGGATTGAAAAATCAAATTAGGCCTATTGCATATTTTATTCAAATTATTGGTTCGGGTATTTTTTATATTTTCATATTTTATCAACGACAAATTTATTAGGTCCTCGCCTCTTTCACATGTCAGTCTAAGTGGTTAGATCTGTAGATTTTTAGAGTTTAAAGTGTTGCCGCTTGCTTGATTTCGTGCCCACCGAGAATAATAAATATATTTGTTAGTTTAACTTTTTTACAAAACAGTTCCTTTATTTCCTTAATTTGTTTAAAGTATGTATTCTAAATAAAAAAGCCAGAAGGCCACTTTTTATATTACTGGACTTGATTTGTAATGTTAAACCATAGACAAAGTATACCCAAAGACAAAAAATAATGGTCTATTGTCTGTAGTTAAACCAAATCATTCTAGTAATATAAATTAAATATTGACCACTGAGCTATAATTCTAACTGGAGGTAGCACTGAATGTCAAAGATGCGTGTCGCCAGCCGCCATGTTTGCGTGAGGTGTGAGTTATAAGAAGCCATATTATTGCTATGGCTATTATTATACTTGGCTTAAAATATCTACTTTGTATGGTCGCCATTTCAAAGAAAATTTTTAAAGTATTAAAAGTATTCAAGTATGACAAAAATACTCACTGCTATACCAACCTAGTTATAAGAAGCCATGTTATTGCTATGGTAAGAAAACTTACTGCTATACCAACCTAACAAAATCAGCGACTCGCTTTTGACAGACTTCTGCCATGGCAGTGCTACCTCCAGTTATAATTTTAGCTCAGTGATATTGACTGCTGATCTAGGCCTACCCGCCTACAATGCTCAATTGAGCACACGACTTTACTGCGGTCCGTTGTTTTTGTGGATTCCCATTCGACTGTCAAAACTGTCAGATTAAGCCAGGTAACCCGTTCGGCGCTGGAGAGACGCGGCGCTCGGGAGACTCGGCGCTCGGGAGACGGAATCGAATGGTGTACACTATAAAAACAATCAGAAATGTAACTGTCGCTAAGCGACTGTCGCTCCTGACTGGTCTTGGAGCAGTACCCAGCGACTGCAGCTCGCGGCTCAAGCGACAGTAGCTCCAAGCAAAACAGGACTATGCAAAACCCCTTTGATCAGTGTCTCGCGACTGCCGCTCAGCGACGGTCGCTGCGCGACCGTCGCACCTGTCGCTTCAGGCAAAACGTACCTTAAGGCGGCCGTGGCAGTACCCAGCGACTGCAGCTCGCGGCTCTAGCGACAGTAGCTCCAAGCAAAACAGGACTATGCAATACCCCTTTGATCAGTGTCCCGCGACTGCCGCTCAGCGACGGCAAAACGTACCTTAAAGCTATATTTTCGATTATTTCTACTGCACTAATGCCACGAACGCCGCTGAAATCACATCGTTTCGTTACGGTAATCGTGTTGCCTCAAGAGTAGACATTAGCCACTAGAGATATGACGTCACTACACCTTTAGCCTTAGTCCCTCCCGTGTGCCAATTCCGTCTACCACCTATTTACGTGTTGTTGTTGTTATTTTGTTGTTTAGTTTTAGTCAGTCATTAATTAGTTGTAGTTCGGTCGTTCCGTTGACAGAAAGTTTTTGAATTTATAAACCAATAAACCATTATGGCAATTAACACAATAAGTGTCCTATAAGCCCCTTGTCTTGTACATACATTCAAATGAAACTTCAAGTCGATTGCAAATTTTATTGTGGTTTACTTTACTCATCACTTTGACAAAGTATAGGCGGTAGGTCTGGTCTAAATAAGACACAACAACTATCTACCCATCAAAATGTTAAGGTTAAACATTGCTAAGGTAAATTATGTAGCCAAGTGAAAACGTAGTTCTTGATTTCTGGTTAGACTTGATTCTTGATTCTAGTTATTAAGTTATGGTTGCAATATTGCCATAGGCCTAGGCCTACGTCCGGTTTTGTGCAGACTGTTTGAATGTTTATAGATTGGTCCATAGGCCTTCTCATAGCCTGTAGGCCTAGGCATAGTTTTTAAATACGCAGAGGATACACGTCCGGTAACAGGACGTGGATTAGGCGTCCGGCAGTTACTGTCATATCCTAACCTAACCAACCAAACTTGCTGAAAATGAAAAAAATCAAATGAAGGTTCAATTCTCTTCATAACATAAAATTATAAATGCCAAAAATTCTAACAAAAGATGTACAGTTAGGGGCCTAAGAAGAAATTACATTCAAAGCAAAATCTGTGACAAAAAGTTAAAGAAACCGATGGGTTTCAAACCAGGGACCTCTTGGATATCAGCCGAGCACTCTATCCACTACACCACGAACAACGCTGGCCGAACATCGTATCGTTGTGGTAATGGCGTTCCGGGACCCCACAACCCGGTGACGTCACTACCGGACGCCCAATCCACGTCTGGTTACCGGACGTGTATCCTCTGTGTTTTAAATAAATAAGCCGGTAAGTTAGGTGTATGGCTCTGGGGAGTGGGATTTTTCGTATTTGGTGTTGCCTTAATCTGACCCTATTTAATTACCTCCCAGAACTCACCTAAAACGTCCCAACTTATAAAACGTTTTTAACCTGTTTCTAGACACCAACACTACAACTCTCTCAAATGACTTTTTTGTTGCCGACACTACCTGTACGGTAACTTAGATACCATGCCGAGATTACTAGACACCACCCCTGAAAAACTCGCTTAAACATCGTGACAGGGCAGTTTACTATACTAGACACCCCATCAAGATTACTAGACACCACACCCAGATTACTAGACACCATGGGTACAGTTTCTTGACTGGGCTATGCTAATATCGATTGAAACTATCGAATTCAAAATATTGATCAATAATCGATACTTTTAAATATATCTATTATAAAATTAAACTATCATAACCTAACCTAACCAACCAAACCTGCTGATGGTGAAAAATTTGCATGAAGGTTTAAGTTACTAATCGAATCAATGGTTTCAATCGATATTAGTATAGCCCAGTTAAGAAACTGTACCCGACACCATTACCAAGATTACTAGACACCTTACCTAGATTACTAGACACCAAGCAAACCTTACTAGACACCATTACCTACATTACTAGACACCATGCCCAAATTATGGTTAGGTTAGGTTAATCTAGGTAATGGTGTCTAGTAATTTAACCCTCCAAGTGTCTCTAGTTTTGGTCTTAATGTTCGCCCATTTATTGCGCAATCGCAGGGTTTTATTAAAATGTATCTTAGAAACTTTAAAACAATGTAGGCCCTAAAGTATACTGTTTTATATAACATTTTGTTTGGAAAATTATGGACTTCAATGTAACATACTAAACATTACAAAAAAAATGTTTCACAATTTTTGTGGGGTTAACATTTCTTAAAAATTATAAAATAAATGAAAAAAGTTTATGTTTGCGCTCAATAAATTGTTATAATTTATAGGTCTACAAATATTTTAAAATAGCCACTTTGTTCAGAATTTTATGAGGATTCCAAAATAATATAAGGAAGTAGATTTGCAAATAAATAAGTTATGGGCAAAAAACAGATTTCGGTACATAGTGTTTAGCTAAGAATGCATAGCCTAACCATAGCTAGGAATCTGGCTGATAATTTACATCAATATCACTACCTACTTCTTCAGGATCATCAACCAGCCCTTCAAAATCACTTAAATCTTCTTATAATGCACCATGTATATCACTACTTTTGATTTTTAACACTACAGTAGAACCCCTCATATCCGGCCTTGGTTTTACCGGTCCTCTGTTTATCCGGCCCCTTCCAGGAAGCCAATATCAAAATTTTTTTCTCACAGCTTACAGACGTTTAGATGCAGCCACTAGTCTTTGTGACTGCTCAAGTCATCAAATAAATTGTTCTCACTCATTATTTATCTGTTTGTTTATACATTTATTTGCTGAGTCACTATACTCAGTTGAGCTAGTAGGCCAGTAGGCCTAACCTCTGATCAGTTGGTTGATTTTTTTTTTTTTCAGAATAATCATTTTATTACAATAGAAATTTTACAAAAAAGATTAGAGGACTGTAAAATTAGAAATTAACAATTAATTTTTAAACAAAAAAATTTGGAATCCCAGCTCCATCTTCAAATTCTCTCGCTGACCGCCATTTCTTTCTTGTTCTCCTCAAACACATACTGGTTGACCTTAAAACAGCACAAATTGTTCTTGATCTTATCCAACTTATTACTAAACTGTATGGTTTTTTCCACTTCTCTGATAGTTTTTCAGCCATAACCCTTAAAAACATTTGGAACTCATTCCCAAAAATTCCATCAACACTTGTAACAAGAGGAGTAAACAATGCATGTCGTTGTTCACAAGCTTTAGTATATTTTCGTTTTTTTTCATCTTCAGCTTTCTTAATAGGTAACTTGTTGATGAGGGATGGAGACATAAGATGGAGCATCAGTGTCAACGACACGAACATCAAACAATGCCTCCATCTGAGTCTCCCATACGCCTCTACAAGCTAGATCAGCTTTTAGTGCAGGTTCGTTGAGATGACTGCCTTCTGCTATCAAGGGCTCTTTAATGCAGTTTCCCCAGGCTTGTTCCATCATGCTACCTATTGTGTCTCTTACTTCATTGTGTCTTTTTATTATCAGACCTCCATTTCGACATTTTAGAGCATGCTCTGTATTGAACTCGTTTCCGCATCCTTCACATTTTAATGGGAGGTTTATTGGTGTTTTCCCATAACGTAGAGCAAGGGCATCTCTAAATTCTTGTGGGGACATGTCCAGATTAAGTTTCTTCAGAGGCAAGCATGATAGCCAGCATCCATGTTTTGCTCTAGGTCCTGCATTGCGCATAATAATTTTCTGCCGTTTTTCTGAGAAAGTTTCCAAATGCTGACTGAATAATTCTTCTTCCATGGATTTCTTTACTTCTTTACATGACTTAATCGATAAATTTAGGGCATATTCATGTGAATCAAAACAAAATTTAGTTTTCTCTCTTAATAGGATGTAAGAATTTTGCATCCATCTTGAGATGATTTAAACATATAATTTGACTGCTTTGTTGGGTCTATTATTCCTATTCCTCCCTTTTTTACTGGTAAATGTAGAATCTCACATTCCTCATTGCTTACTTCTGAACAAAATAGATTTGAAAAAAAAGATGTCCTAATTGCTTGTTGTATAGGTAGGCCTAAATACGTTTCAGATTTAGTTTCAACTACCCTTTGAAAAAAAGTCCATTCCATTTGTGAAGATTTAGTCACTACAGTGTAGGCAGATTGTGGATATTTCTTTGCAATATTTGCCAGATTGTCAATGTTTTGGGTCCATAAACCAATTTTTTCAGAAATGTGTTAATTTTTTTCCTCTTCAGAACCTATATATCCACCAAGAAATTGGCTACCCTTACAAATTTTCATACCTGATATTTTCTTTTTAAATTGTTTGGAAATATTATCATGATTAAAAATTAATTTTGTTTTATTAACTTGAGGAAAGTACCCATATTTTGGACCTAATTTTGAGAGCTTTTCCCACCATTCCACAACATCATCAAGGGAGCCTTGACAAGAAGAGTCATCTGCATACCAAACTTGAGATGTGTTTGGCATTCTTTTTAGTTCTTGTATTAATGGAAGTGTTGCCAGACCGTATAATATCATTGATAGTGGATCTCCTTGGGTAACTCCTTCTTGACTATACAATCTTTGATTACTTCCTTGTAAAATTAAATCTGAGCTACATTGGTAGGTATTATAAATGAATCTTGCAGCGCTTGGCCATTGGACTCTTGCTTGCCATAAAGCATGAATTCTGTTTATTTTGTTGAAGGCATTATCTGTGTCTACCAGGATCATACACCATTCTTTGTTGGTATTACTATGTTCACTATATTGCTTTCGCATGAAATGTATTCCTCCCTCTATACCAGATTTGAGACCTCCACAAAGTTGATCTGTACCTAATGCTTGTTTTGCATCATCGCCAAAAGCTAAAATAATGCATTTGGCCAGAATGCGTCTGAGACATTCTCCTATTCCAATGGGCCTCACACCTGGACATTTGTCAATTGCAATAAGTCTATTTGCCATCAGAGCTCTTATAGTGTGCCATGGTACTACTTCTCCATTTAATTTCATCGCCAAGGTGGCTATGGCTGTTCTTAAATAAGTACTCTTTTGTCCATGAGGCAATAAGAAATCTGTCCAATTTTCGGATGAACTTCCTCCTGGACCTCCACTACCATGAAGTTTTCTTGCTATCTTTTCTACATGTTCTGTTGTTATTTCTGCATTTTCAAGCTTTGGAATTTGGTCCATGCCATCTGGTAATTTAAGCAAATTAATGTCAGGAATTATAGCATTTGGGTGTTTTTCTTTCAATACATCATAAACAGTAAACGAGGTATTATCAATAGTTTCTTCTGGATTAAGTAAACCACCTATATTCTTTTTATTTATCTGTCTTGAGGCTTCCTTTATTTTACCTTTTTGAACTAATTTATTAAAATAAGAGTCTTTTAACTGTTCATATTCGTCAGAGTCAAGCTCATATTTTGTTTTCTTTAAAGATTTATCACATCGAATGGCCTCATTGATGAGTTTGTCAAATAGATTATTCTGCCATTCATCTAGTCTTCTTTCAATTAATCTTCTTATATCCTTAGCTTTTTTAATCATTTTGTCTCCTTGAAGGATAATTGCTATAAAACAAATCACTCTCTCAGATATCTCTTTTCCTTTTGCCAACAGTAATATTTCATCTGCAAGTATTTGAATAAAGTTGTTTCCTATTGATCCATTTGGTAACTCATATTGCATCCTTTTCAGTGAAATAATCTTTTCCCA